TGAAGCTATTCAAAGCTCAGCTTACTCTTGGGAATATTTGATACATGAAATTTTTATTAGTCTTTCTGGTTTCCTTCAAGTTTTATCTTGAAAATAAGATCAGAACTTTTTTTAAATTCATATTCTCGTAGAGCTTGTCGAACTCTATCGAACTGTATAAAAATATCTAGAAAACAATATGTCGCTTAGGATGTTAGAAGCAATTTTTGTTTTTGAAAAAAAAATGTCACTTAAAAATTTTTACTCAAGATTAGTAAAATGACCATAACATTATTATGGATTTGTGTATTTCGAACTATCTGTTTTTCAGAATATAGCTCTAATCTTTCTCTGCAAAATGATATAATTTGATCAATAACTTCATAGAAATTTGTTGTAGATATCATCAATTTACTGAGAGGGGTCGAAACTTTCTGATCACCCTTTAGTATCTCGTCTTTAATGACTTTTAATTATTGACAGTGATAAATCAAAGTTTTTGATCGCATTGTAAAGGGCAAGTGGTTTTCGAGAAATCGTTTGATTTATATAATTGAAACTGATAACATGTAATTAGACTAGGAAAATATTTCTTTCACTGAGACAATAAATAGATTTTCATTCTCCTGATGCGAATAATATTTAGAGCCTTATAAAAATAAAATTTTTCAGGATAGAAGTATTTTACCTTATATGGATGGTAGGTGTCCACAATAGCATCGAGACGTTTGGAAGCATTTCGAGTCGAATATAAAATTTCTCAATCATCAAGATAATCGAGAATTCAGTAGACGAGTTCTACTGGTAATGTAAGAAGACTTGGAATAATATTCGTTGACATTGATGAAAATATTCTTTGTTTGATTGGTTGAAATGTATGCTCAATATATAGTACGTTCAGTAGGATTTTTTGTAGAAGTGAATTGATTTTTAGCTCTGTGTTACAAGTTTCTCATGATTTTGCAATTACTTGTTTGAAGAAGCACATGCAGGTGAGTCATATATTTTGAAAGCACCACAGTAGTAACTAGTTTATAGTGACTTTCGTTTTATTTTATTGATAATGTAGTAAAATATGAATATTACTCATCTGGGTATTTCTTTTTTTGCTCTTTTTTGGCAAGTTGCAAAAGGGATAGGACAGAGTATTTTATTCTATGAAATTTTGCAGTATGGACGTAGATAAATAAGTCAAGAAACTGAAACTCACACCTACACCCAGTCGATGCAGTTTTTGATGCTCTTTCGAATGGGATGTTTTTCAACATTGTCCGATATGATCTGGTCTCACAATGTCAAAATACTGAAAATTGCTTTTTTTTTTGCAGTTTTGAAGGGTGCTTATTTTGAAATGCCTATAACTCCGTGAATATAGGGTATGAAGGACTAAAAGAATTTTGTCGGTCCAGTTTTCCATGTAGAGTCGAATGAAATAAAAAAAAGACATATTGAAAAAAAAGTCATGTTTTGACTATTCTTGAGGTCCTCATGGATTCTCTCTTAAGTGTTTGCTCCTTCGTTTTGATGTTCACCAGACTATTTATCTGATCCAGTTCAACCATACTAGATCCATAGGTGCTTATCGTCACTTTCATTACCTGTTGTAGAGGAACTGTCACATTTTTCTTTATTTTTCAGTGTTGTTTTGGTTGAATCAATGCATTGTTTTGCAGTTCGGTCTACATTTTGTCAGCAAGTCGAGACATCAGCGAGTTAGACCAGCGAGATTTATGCGACAAACTATATTGATCTTCATTAAGATAAACATAGCATGAAAAAGAACAATTTATTATAGTTATAAATGATTTTTTAGAAGAAGAAACAAACGCTCATTTTTCTGCATGTTCAACGTATTCTTAAAGGAACGAGTTTAACAAAGCTGCATCGATGCAAAATAGAAATATTGCTATCAAGTTATATACAGAGTCTATACTCTTCCTGAAAGAAAAGTCGTCTATATATCTAAAATCATGTTAATACATGGTACTGCTTCAGCAAGATCAGGATCATTGTTTGAAAGTGTATCATCATACATCACATTAAGCTTCATACCGATTTCAACATTCAGCGATGTATCAATGAGAGCATGTTCATTACGAACAGATACATTCTGATTAATTCGGCGTACATTGTGATGTTCAAAGTTACAGGCGATCAACGGTGTTTCTTGTCCATTAGAATTTGCCCAAATCAAAATAGAATAATTATTTTCAATCTCACAAGTAATTGGGATAGCAAACCATTTGAATATTTCGGAATTTCGATTGTTTACATAAATTCTTTCTGTTTGAATTAAAATATCATTCGAGTTTAAAATGTAAACAATGAGATCGTTATCAACAAGTTTCGATTTTACACGTACGGCCTGAAATTTCATTGGTATTGTTAAATAAAAACGATAACCATAAGCATGAGTGCCATCCAATCTAATATACTCGTCATCATCACATACATCAGAGAGTTTTAGCAACGGTTGAATGTGACTTTTATCGATCAAAAAAGACTCTACTGATATATTGTCTAATTTTTTTAGTAATTCTTTGATTTGTGACAGATTATCATAGGCAATAAAATGCTTGATATCGATCATACACCCTTCCATTAATTGATCATATTGTTCTTCGATTAATTCATTGTAAGTAATCAAATCACCTTTCATTTTGATAATTTGATGAAAATTTGTCGAATTACACATTTGTGTTGTCAATAATATTCTAATTAAAACAGTTTTAAGCTGTTCATCGATATCTTCCTGTTGTTGTTTAATAATTGGTTCATAGATAGTGTTATTACTTTCTATTTCACTGATCAGTTGTTGTTTTTGTGTCTCGATAAGATTTTGAAAGTTCGACATAATTTTTTCGATATCAGTCTTTGATTGAACATATGCTTGTTGATGTTTTTGATAAGCTATTTGTGTCATTTTGAGTTGTGCTTCTAATTTCTCTTTCATTGATAGCAATCGTTGCATTGATGAATCGAATTTTGTTTTTGCTTCTTGAGCCATGTCATGTAAAGTAACGAATGCATGCTGTTTGTGCTCATATATAAGACAATCACTACAGACTAACTTCTCACAATCAATGCACCAATATTTTAGTTTTTCGTCTTCGTGCTCAGAACATTGAATATTCAATCGATCATTCATAAGAACTTTGATTTTGTGTATTTCAAATTCTTGTAGGTCATGTTTTTCTTTCAGACATAGAGTACAGTAGGATTTTGAACAAGTTTCACAAACATAGTCGGATGACATCTGTTGACAATTCTCACACTTTGCCACTTTCATCATAGAAGACTTATATTCTGATTGCAGTATATGTTCAACCAAATCTTTAGCTATTCGATTAACTGGTAATCGGTCGACAATGGACGAATTAATTGTCGTTTTATCGCGCATTGGACAATAGGCAATATCTCCTTGACACAATTTTTTCAGACATCCGTAACAGAATGTATGGGAACATGGAAGTACACGAGGATCCTTGTAATAGTCCAAACACACGGCGCATTTAACAAAACTTTCCCATTCATCACAACTCCAGGTCGTGTGCTTCTTGGTAGTTGCCATTGTTATATTTCATGTAACTGTGGCCGCTGTTTAATGCTTATCGAAAACAACTTTCTCATCTTATAAAAGGAAGCAGAACAAATATTTTTTTTTGTTTTACTCGATAAAACATTCCTTTTTTTTACGATTCTCCGCAGAAGTCAAAAGAATAAAAAGATGATGACTCATACATTAAAATAAAGATACTATTTAAATATATGAAATTTCGCAGATGAAACAGAAATACTATGGATGCGAGGATGAAAAGTGACTGATATCTACACTCAAACCCGAAATATGTGGTTCCTGAAAGAACCTCAGCTGCTATAAATCTATTTAGTGTTATACTTTTCGATTTCACCACCTATGCCGGTGTTATTTCTTTGGAGTACTTTGCGCTATGATTCACATGTTTTCATCTTTTCCATCTTGTAGGTGAATGTAAATCTTTTTTTCATACACCATCTTGAGAAATACAAAAGTTCGTGTGTCTTTTTTATATTGATTTTGTGAAATTAAGATTGTTGTATGATATTCTTCGTTTGTACCTCCTCGACTTCTTTTCTTAAAGTATTTTATCGTTCTCAAATTTCGATCAGCATTTGAGTATTCTTCTCATGCTGAAATAAAAGTTCATTTAACAAAGACCGTTTTGATGAGAAGAGGGTGTGGGACAAAGGAAGATCAAATTCCACACCCACACTCACATCCACCGTTGACTGATAGCAATGTTATAGAACTAAATAAACCCACAGTACTCAATCTACTATGTGATGCATTCATGACGTTCAACAAACGTGGATAACGGCCCAATGAAAGTAGAAATCGATCATAATGAAGACAAACAAAAATACTCTCACATTCACGTTTCAATTAAAAAACTGCATGTCAACAGGTGTGAATGGGATGTGAGTCAATATAGTTATTGATAATAAGCTTTTCGTATGATACTCACTATTAAAAATTTTATAGCCTTTTTCATAACATGCAAATGTTTGACTCGTTCATTTTCTTGGCATGATTGATAGCTATCAAGCACAATTTGCAATTGAAAATGCATAAAACTTTAATTATCTTCAGATATCTATATTATATTTTACAAGTGTTCTTCGTCAGGAACGTTCACATGATTGGTCACAGAGCGAAAAAAAAGTATACATATATATATGTCCGTCGTATATGTTCATTCATTATGCATGTATATATTTCAGTCATATTTTATTTTTTTACTTTGCTGTCTTTTTNGGTGTGAGTGTGGGTGTGAGTGTGGGTGTTGGTGTGGGTGTGGGTGTGGGTGTGGGTGTGTGTGTGGGTGTGGGTGTGGGTGTGGGTACGGGTGTGGGTGTGGGTGTGGATCTTGGGTTTCTTATTCCTCAAATGAATTCACATGCACCCCCACCCACCCCCACTCGCACGCACACACCCCTACCCACACCCCACTCACACCCCAGATCCCGACGTACTGTCCTGGGTCTTAATACGTGCTTTCAAACAAAAAAAAAGTATTAATACATCGGACGAACCATGAAAGAGAAATTTTGGCATGCGGGTACGAGGAAACGAAAAAGGTTTTCGAATATTTGAAAAAACCGCTGGTTTTTCAAAAACTGGTTCTCTGGAGTTCTGAAAAGTTTCTAGGAAAAATGGAGGTTTTAGGAAAAATTTTTATCAATTTGGAAAGAGCAGGCGACAGATTATCTTCCTATATATTTATCTAAATTTTGACAATTCTTACGAAAATTTACTTTTTTGAGGAGAGTTTAACTCAATTCGATCCAAGGACATTTCGGATTAACTAGTGTGCGATAATAGAATGATAGAACGCAATTGTGAGTTGAAATTTAATTTTGTCCGAGAACATGTATATATTTCGACATTTTACAGCTACACGGTAGTTACAATGTTTATGGTGCGTCATGTTGGAAAGAAATAGGGTTACGACAAAAATATGTGTCTGCTTCTCACTGGTATTTATTCGTTTTTTTTCTTTCTAAATCATTCATCCTCGAGAAATGATCGTAAGCATGCGTGCTTCTGTATGTGCGCGTTGAGAAGAATTCAACGGCAACATTGAAAGAGTCTCGATAAGTCCAACAATAATGAATGCTAAGATAGAAATTCTAATTACTCCTTATAGAAAAAAATTCGAGACATATCAATTTACTTGTTCAATACAACTCATTTTAGTTCATATTGAAAACAGTGAAGATAATCACTCTTGTAGTTTTAGATTTAAATTTAGTCGACATAATATCATGCTCTTAGGTTTTCATCTATGACTATTCTCTGTCAATTGGTTGTTGATTTCAAAATTTCTTTCCAAGATCAACTCAAAAACTGAAGAGAAAAGTCACAAAAGTGTTTTTTTTTATTAATCGCATTTTCACCTTAAGCAAGAACGAAAAAACTTCTTGGACACTGTCAATATGATTTTTCCTCCTTACTTTTGCATCAGTTAGGATTTTGAATTCTAGTTAATGTGAAGTTAATAGCTCAAACAAAAATGACGACAACATCTAAGCTTGGTAACACAGCTTTTCTAGCTGGTAGTAGCATAGAAGGTGGTGCTTATACACGTCATCTAGCCCAACAAGTTATGCAAGATTTGGATTTCATGTTAGTTGAAGGAACAATAAAGTCACCTGATTGTATTCTCAAACTAAACAATGCAGCAGGATTCGTTCAAGTCAAATATGATGAAAAATTCGTTGAACTATGTTCACCAACTCCATTTTCTACCAAACCAAATCAACATGGAGTGTTATGTATTAATGGTTTTAAAATGAAAGAGAAGTACTGTGGTGTTGATAAAAGTTCAGTTTTTCCAAGATTAACAGGCACTTCGACCTGTGCAACTACAACAGATTCCACAAGTACTGAAATGAAATATGAGAGTATATTCGATAATACATCGCTTGGTAAACAATTTGAAGTAACACTGAACACTATTCGACGAATGCAAGTACGAGACGATGTTGAAGGACACCAATCGAAATTTATCTCAGTTTGTAATGCATTCCGAAAATCTATATCACATGTATTACCTATGATGGGACCTATTGCCAATGCCGAACGTTTTTATGAACAAAGTTTTCAGGATATTATTAGTTTGACATTTCCTATGTATTATATAAAAATACCAGAAATCAATCAAGTGCGATTGAATGTTCTACTAGAGTTTTATGAAAAATACAAATATCTTGGAAATGAATCCATGTTGGAAGATTATATCGAATACGGATCATTATCAATGAATTATGATGTTGATTTAGTACCAGCTTTAAAACTGGACTTTTGGCCAAATGATATGCAAGTATTTCTCAATAGAATTCAAAAATCTCGGCCAGAACTATACAGAATCATTTGTGAGCAAGAATGCATGCATGTCATACCAAAATGGTCCAACAAAACACCGAACGTAGATCAAGAACTCGAATTTCGATATTCATATTCAGCAATTGAACGTCTATTAGCTAAAAATCGTACACGAAGAGAACAAATTTTAAATGGTGTTGCACGAAGTATCTATTATCTGCATCTAAAAAAAGTGTCGTCTAATGAAGACTCCAAGAAAACTATCATACCATCCTATTTTGTCAAAACAACAGTGTTATGGATGTGTGAAGAACGTAATTTTAATGATCTTTGTTCTGAGACGGACGATGATCAAACTATTGCTGAGAAAATGGCAAGGGAATGGTTGATCTATGCTAGATCATTATTATGTTCTGGTTATTGTCCACATTATTTTATCGATTCTTTCAATCTATTAGAACCATGTTCTGAGGCATCATTACGTCGAGCAGCGTTTATTCTAGACAATGATGTTAATCTGAATGAGAGTATTAAGATCGATGTATTAATTAAACAGGACAAATTGATGAGTAAACAACAACAAACAACGGAAAATTGGTTACGAAATAGGAAAGTTAACGATATTTTGGTTGCAGTGAATGATTATCGATTGTTGAGAGAAAACTGGCTCTGTCCATCAGAAGAAAACCATGACGAAGGTGATGTATCAGATTGTTTCTATACCTTGAATCAATTACGAGCACTAGACGGTGATAAACAACAGAATTGGAGTACCTTTCAACGTTTGTTCTTGACAACTGATCAGACAACTTGGTTAGCACCAACATGGGATCAACAAGTAGCTGATTGTTCTGTATGTGATTTCGTTGATGGTATTATCACATTAGGTTCAACTATGAGACAGATTCTAGAGGCCATGGAAAAAAACAGATTTTGAACAAAGCCTAAATAGAAATATTAGTGAAACACAATTCTTTCCCGTACAGAATCTACTCAATGATCTTATACAACCAGCCAACATTGTTCAAAACGGTTTAATGACGTCTTGGATACCTATGTTCACCTCTTCCTACTTCAATGCATCATCAAGAAGTGTACCATCGATCCGACAACGTTCAATCATTGATAACCATCCAACAGGACCACTACAAGACATTCTACAAGGCCGTTCATGTCCAACACCGTTAGATTCTGAATCATGGCAAACATATCGACAATATGCTCAAAGTGTTTCATATCGATTTCTGGATCTTTTAAATGATGCTCCCGATGGTGATATGACATTGGAAGATCTATTGACATATTACAACCAGCCATCCACAACAACGCAGGTAGATCAAAACTTATTCTCATTTATTTTTCCAACAATCTTTTCCCTCTAGCCTATAACGACATCATCCATCGAAGAACAAATTCTCTCATATTCGACGAATCCGTATTCAGTGAATAGAGAAAGTATTACATTAATTGTTTTTGATCCTGATCGTGCTATAAATAATATGACAGATGATGAATATCGTACTATTAATGATTATGTGTTAGTTTATAGAGAGAAATCTCAATTACTTACTTATGTACGCTCGATCAGTGAAGAATTCATTTTCATAATCCTTTGTCAGTATGCGTTGGATGAAGAGTTTTTAACTCAATTGAATGATTTGAATCAAATTCATTCAATTTTCATCTATTCTACAAAGCAAGAAATCGACAATTATAAACTCAAGAACAGATATTCAAAATTACTTGATATCTTTACAGAGCAAAATATGTTATTTGAACAAGTACGGATAAAAATCCAACAACCATTTGCACTACGGTTAGGGTTTTATGATTCAGAGCAGAAATTGACAAAAAATACAAAACTATCAATAGAGAGCACCATATTTCTCTGGAATTTGTTATTGAAAGATCTATTAGCAAATGAACAACCAAAAGACAAAAGTTTTCTCATTCAAGATTGTCAAGAATATTATTGTCGAAATATTATAGAAATGGAAAATATCAAACGATTTGAAAAGACATACGATCATTATAATGCCCATGAATGGTATTCGAAATCTTGTTTTGTTTCTAAACTTCTTACAAAAGCATTTCATACAGTTGACATTGAACGATTGAAATTATTGAACTTTTTTATACGTGATCTAAGCGTGACTATGAAAGAGTCGTCTACAATTGAACACCTGTATTTCACAAGAATATTACGAAAGACTCAGGTGGAAAAATTATTAGAAAAGATTGGACAACTAATGAATTTTAGTGGATTTTTACTCGTACATTCTTCATTCGATGAGATAGTACCATATGGAAATGAATCACAATTAACTGTTAGTTTCGAAATAAGAAATGTGCCTACATCTGTTGTTCATATGATTGATTCGAATACTGTCATCATCAATTTAGGTGTTACATTTAAATTGAACACATTTAATTTCGATGATAAGTTAGGAATTTGGATTGCTCGTTTGATTTTCACTGATGACGGAGTACAGATTGCACAAAATTATGTAGATGTACAAAAACAGATAATGGAACGAATGACATTACCACTCATAATGGTCGAGTTACTAATCATTATGAATAATTTCTCAACAATAAAAAATTATTTAGATAGTTTGAAAAATGAAGATGAAGCTATCATCTATTACTATTATGGAATCCTATATTATGAAAAAGGTGAATATACATTAGCACTCGATAATTTTCAAATAGCTTATGAATTGATGAATAGTGATGAACGCATTCAGGATAGTGCTTTAGTCTTACATTATATTGGCTATGTTTATGATATGAAAAAAGAGTTTAATGATGCATTAGATAGTCATGAAAAAGCATTAGCAATCAGACAAACCTATTGTCAGGCGAATGATGTACGTATGGGTATCAGCCTGTATAATATTGGTCGTACATTATTGGCCATGGGTAAAGATAGCGAAGCATTAATTTATCATCAAAATGCCTTAGCAATCTTTGAACAGACTCTAACTTATAATCATAGATTCATAGCACAAAGCTTACAGACTCATGGATTTATATATTACCGTATAGGAGACTATCATCAAGCACATGATTACTGTACGAGAGCATTGGAGCTCCATGAAATGATTGTACTTCGAAATGAACAATCCATTCTTATGATATAAAATGTATTAGAAACAATTCAGGAACTACTTTCTTGATATAGAAGGATCAATGTCTTTTTTGTATGCTTAAAATATTTATCAATCTAGAGTTATAATTATGTTCTCTTTCAAATAATAGCTTTCTAAGTGTAAGTGTGTTGTTGAACAACAGAACAACATCTACACCCATATCCACTTATTATTTATAGAAAATGTTTGATAAGTTCAATTCGATTTTCTGGAAAAAAAAAGATTATTCTTTAACAAATTGGAAAGTTAACAAGTGTTTAAAAAGAGTAGAATTAGCATCGTTATTTGAAAAAACTTTTAAATGATGCTGCGTCTAGAATTATTGTTTATCAGAAAACATTTGTGATATTTCGCAATTGGTTTTGGTTTTTCTTAAGTGTATGTACTGTCCTTCAGATGTTGTATTTGAGTTCAAAATGGATTATTTTCGAAGAAAAAATATTCTTATAACAGAAGTATTCATTTTAGACAAATAAACTTCCAATGAAATTTCTACACGATATAATTAAATACACGAGAACGATTCTCTGATAGCTATAATTTAGCTGATGCATAAATTACAGTCTTGTTTCAATTTATGCATAATAAAAATCGTTGTAAGATAACAAGTTAACGCGACATAAACTTCGCTAATCCTCTACTGAAATGATGCAGTTATCCATA